CCTCTCTCTCTCTCTCTCTCTCTCTCTCTCTCTCTCGCTCTCTCACTCTCTCGCTCTTTCTCCCCCTCTCTCTCTCTTTTTGCCCCTATCATAGCCGCGGAACCCCTGCTAATCCTCCCGGGCACTGAAACTACTGGAAGTCCGCAACAGGTCAGGGTCGAATGGTCATCGGAACGTTTATCTCCCATGTGAAGCACACACACCCGGTCGGGCACGGCGGCCCGCGCGAGCCGTACCGGTATAGGATAGGATAGAGCGTGGCAGCGGCGGTGGCTGCCGGGGGTTTTACGGCTTGTTTCGCCCACTCAGGAGCCAACACACACACACACACACACACACACACACACACACACACACAAGGCACCCGATTGATGCGCTAATACTGGAAAGGCAAAGGCTCACCACGAGGTGCAAGGAAGTTGAGTGTGTGTGTGTGTGAGTGTGTGTGTTTGGGTGTCTCTTTCGATTTGGTATTGTGTCATCTTTCTTGTCGCGCTGGTTTGTGTCCGAGGGGACCACTATGCTGTTGCTGTGTCGCACACTGTGCAACCCGGCAGAGGAGGAGCAGGTCCGCGAAGGAGCAGGTTCTCTATACGCGTTTTGTTTGAGGAAGGGTCGCCCCGGAGACACACTTTGGTGCGCATGTAGTAGCATGCAGGGGACAGAGAAGACGAAAGCTCAAATCAAAGAACAAGGCGTTCATCGTTATCATTGATGCTACAAACTATTATTGCCGCGACGTCGACCCTTTAATTGTTTTAAATAACTGAGATATTTCAACCTCTGTTGCTCGCCCCCCGCGCGCGGGCGTAGCCATGACGGGCGCTGATGAACCATTCAAACGTTTATTATTTGTTATTGCAATCGCCATGACGTCACAAGATTTCGTCAATTGCAAGTTCTTGTGACAAATATCTTGGCGCCGCAAGGCCTCAGCGCTTCCGGCCGCCCGGGCGCTTGGGCGCCCGCGCCGCTCTTGATGTGTACACTGTAAAATGCTCATCAGATCCATGACAAAAACTCCCCCTTGTGAAACAGCCCATTTCGTTTAGAGTGCTAATTTTGTTCAGCTAACAAATTTTGTCTTATCTCTAAAATGATAGGGTCAACTGAGTTTTTTGCCAGCTCAGAATGGCAAAATTTGCAACAAGAACCTATTCGTAAAAGGATTTAATAATATGCTTTTCCGTATTTCCAGCAAGCGCGAACAGGTCCGAAAAACACATGGACAGACCGACAAAGATTTTACACTCCACTTTTTGACATTGACGGAGTCGAGGACGTCAACGTGAGCCGTGCGGTGGATGTCGATGGCGCCGCAGCAGTGCCGTGGGGTGAGGTCACCACATGGGCGTGGTGGTGGTGACTCCTTGTTTAGCATCCCTCTGTAATCTCGTTAAGTTGCCCGACTCTTGCTTTGAGATACGCCTTTTCATTAGAACCCCTCTCCCCCTCCTCCCTCCCCTGTGTGGGGTGGAGCGACTGCTGTGCGCGGGCGCGAAATTCCAGTCGTGCGAGATTATTAAGGGCGCAAATAATTAACGAGTTTGGTTTTAGTGCGTGATACACAAATACGCTGAGTAGTAGCGTAGTTAATGTTCTCCGGCACACTGCTCCAATATGTCTATTAAAATTACATCGCTAAAATGCGCCTTACACTTTCTGTTTTTGATTTTTTAAAGATGCTGAAAAAAAGAAGATTGCTCTGCTATTTTTATCAATTAGCAGGGACTGATTTTCTCGCACACTAAACCCACTGCTGGGAAAGAAAGGATGCTGCCAATTTGTATTGGAGTGTGAAATAAATCTGCTCCACGGCGGTGATATAAATGAGTGCCTTTGGGAGTTTTAAATCCCCCTGAATGCCTCGTTATTTAGAGGCGTACCACCGTCATCATTGGCATATCATCCAAGATCATCAACCTCATCATTATCACCATCATCATCATAATAATCATCACCATCATCATCACCATCATCATCACCATAACCCATCACTGTCCTCACCTGGGGGTGGTGTCGAAGTAATCCTTATTGCTCGCACTCCCGGGTCATCCTCTCGTATCACAGACGCACACACACACACAGACGCACGCTCACTCACACACACGCACTGAGAGCTCTCAAGGACGCCCGCACGACGGCGCGCCGCTCGCTGCTCGACTCGCTCGCGACCCGGGTCAAAGACAAAACGTGAATGCAGCCGCAAAATAACCGGAGAAAGTATTTATACGGGGCGTGGTGTGCCGGGCCGGGTGGGGGAGGGCCCGACCCGGGGCCCACCGGAGCCCACCACCCCGGCGGAGGGAGCCCTGGCGGGAGCCCGGCCCGGCGGCGGGCCCGGGCACCTGCCGGGGGACCCCCCCACCAAGCCCGGGCTCCAGGAGGACCTATGGTCGCGCCTATGGTCAAGGAGGAACCCGCCGCCCGGCCCAGCCGCCCCCGTGGAGGGAGGGGGGGACATCACTGACATCGTGCTAGCACCAAATCCACCAAGTGCATGTCATTATAGGGTTGGAAGACCTCGAAAGTCTCCGGAAAATTTCAGGAAAATTTCGAGAAAAAACGTAAAATTTCTGGGAAAGAAAAATGAAAAATTTCCAAGTTTAACGTTATTTTCCGAAAATTTTCGAGAATTTTTCGGAAACTGTCCGGAAAATTTCGGAAATTTTCAACCCTACATGTCATATAAGGGAAATAACACTTTTGAGTTAACGCTATATTCCACTATCATGAGTTGCACCCCAAAAATGTGGACCTGGAATCGAGTGGATAACTGTTCGTGTGTGTGCATATTTATGATGACAGTCGCACACACTACT